ATATATATAGATAGATATAGATATAGATATACACATACTTATGTTTGATTGTCTGAGCTGCAAAGATATCGATCCACCTCATTGTGTACAGATATACGAGTCTTGAAAACCAACAATAGTAAGTCCAATCCAATTTGAAGCCTTGAGTCATACAAACCCAACATATCCGTAAAAATATACCATAGCCACTTAAAGTTCCATTTAGGAGGCTATATACACTTAAAGGTATGGGGCACATACTAAAACTATATGGACCATGAAATAGTGCATGCTTTGTGCAGTGGTCTGGCGGTTACTGGCTTGACTACAGAAAATCATGATTATATACCGATGCATAAGATTCACTGATTCACGGGTCAAGCAAAAATATGATACAACTGGGAGAACGAAACTATCATAACATCAGCCTGAAAGAAATGTATACATTGAATCAAGATCAGATTGGGACCAACTACACCTAATTTTGTATGAACGAGTCTACCTTATTGAACATCCGACGATTCCTTTCGAAGAGTCGATAGGCAAGTTTTAGACCTTGCCGCGCAACCCCCGCAATGGTACGTTAAAATACTGACGTAATATAATACAATTTGCTCACGTACAGCGCCACCAAAACGAGACATACCTGACTGAGGCCGCACGGATTTGAGTCGAGAGATGTTTCTTTGCTCTTGAAAGGAAGCTGGCACGTCCAATTCTGAAGAATGCAATACTTCACTGCCGTGTATGTGCCCTTTAAAAACGAGTAAATACATAGGTATTTGATTTTCATGACTCTTATTAGAGAGGTCCTTTGTGAATTTTTTTTCTTCAAAATTTGACAAGGGTTTTAGGGTATAAAGATGCCTCTAGATGCTGCCGCTGGGATAAGAAATAAATATTGGGTCGTTCAATCGTTTTGTTCGCAAATGAAACAGTAAACACACCTTCAGCCCTTCAGGCTTCAGGTCTTCCCGTGAAGCCCCAATAGGAGGTGTGATTGCACACCCCTTAGGCCTAATGTTTTTCCAGAGATGACAGAGGGCCAGTGCATCGTGGCTGGACCAGCCATCATTCATCTTTCTTTGATATAGGCGTGCATTGGAAGGAGGAAGTCTACATCCTCGAAGTTGTTATGGGAAACACAATACCTATGTGCGTCGGAGTCTTATGGACGTTGTGTCGGCTCATATCCTACCCTAGATTAGTGCTCGAGTTGTTTTAGCTTCAGGCCAATAATAGTCGTCACGCAACACCAAGTTTGCAATAGAGCTTGTGCTGGAATACAATACGGAGAAAGATACAAACTGGTTGGCGACCAGCAACAGCATTGTTTGGCGATGCCGATATCATTATCCCAAACGAAATGGATCTGGAGGGCAAGACAAAAGATTAGAACAGTAGTGATAGTGCACCTTTTAACAACACAACTATATCCGCTGATGCATTGGATTTGTGCCTTGTTGTCAGGTTTTAAGCTTTAACAGCACTATCTTGACAAGATTTGATTCTAAATATCAAGTTATTTATTTTTCTCGAACTTATAGATTCGTACGCACGTGGCCCATACTAATTATATCACTCCATAAATATTCCCCGTCGCCCTTGTTTGGTACATCTGTGCTCATGTGAACTCTCAAAATACGCAGCTTATATATCCATCCATACATAAAAACATATTATTATCTGCATAGCAAGAAGCTCCTCGCATATTGCGTGGTATATACTCGCACATTATGTGCAGAAGCTGTCCGATGAGCACTTAGGGCACTTACATTGGAACCAGTGCCTTACATGTTGCGGGTGTATAACACCGCTCCGGTAAGCAGCACAGCCATGTGTGTATTTGACATATGGCTGTCAGTGTACATCATCTTCATCACAGCCTCCGACGCGTGAATAAACGCCAGCCCTCCAGCAACAAGCACTTGAAGCTCGGTCGGAACAGGAGAGAAATATCCCGTAGCGTAAAGGGACGATAAGCCTCCGTAGAATACCCAAATGCCACAGAAACGCATGACAGTAGCCGTCTTGTCTGGTTTTTTAGACACGCTTGTTGGTGCATCATTTTTCTTGGCCTCTGCTTTGCGGCCTGCCTTCATGAGCTTCTCCGGTGCGAATATGAGCATAGGAGAGAAAACAAGGGTCGCCAAGGAATGGTAAGCCAGTACACCAGTTAGAACATTCATGATTCTTGATATACGTATTTTTCAGATGAACGTGTGTAAATATTTATGATTGTTATGTGTGCTCGACTGGTGGTCCGCTTTGCTTTATTTATACGTATTTATACATATTGACAGGGGGTGGAAGTTTGGAATCACCATTCGGCCTACGAACGTCTCACTCTCTTTACTATGTTATTGTACAAGTCACTCCCCAGAGGTGACCAGAATATCATCATGAGAGAGGAAAAAATAGCTCTTTTTTTAACTTAAAAATCAATTAAACGAGAAGGCTATGTAAAAATTGCCTGAAACATTTTACAAACAATATTTGTTTGTAAATATTCGATTTTATAAATAAAACCACCCAAAAGATAAAAACTCAAACAAATACAAACAAATATTTTTCTAAAAATAAAAAATTATGGACATACAATGACTGAACAGTTCTGAATCAACTGTGTGAGCAGTGACTGAGCACTGATCATGAGTTGTATTTATTTACGAAGTCTTAACAGTGATATTTATATACAAAATAAAATAAACAACTCATCAGCCCCTCATCAGGGCTCAGACTTCAGACTTCAGACTTCAGAAGTTCAAAGTCTCAAGTCTCAGACTCAGAGTGACTCACCTATGATCTCTTTTCACTGTCTGATGTGAGACTGAGAGTCTGGACTCTGGACTCTGGAGAGTCTGAGAGTCTGAGACGTCAGACCGAGACGAGACCTTAATACAGTCCGATTTTTTTATTCGTAAAAAAGAATGTACACACGTGTGTCAGAATATCACTGTGTGACTCTCAAGTCTCATAGCCTCGCTATTACTTGGTACTAGCAGAGTCTCGAGCGGAAATCGTAAATGTAGCGGAGCCAGAGACCCTAATCCAGAGGTCCATGTCACATGTGACTGTGTGTTTCTGTGTGAAAGCGGAGAACTGAGCTCGGATTGCTGAACAGCCGTCAGTTTGACGCTCTGATAATTTGCTACTTCTCCTATTGACTGAGATTCTGACGATTTCTGTCTTTGTTAAAATAAATGAATACTATTGGTTCGATATGGTCATTAACTAACTTTTTAGAGTATATTTTGCCGGTGAGCTTAAAAAGGCAAAAACCACGGATACCGCGTTCTCTCCCATTCCCGCCCCGGCGCCCCCTGCCTCTCTCTGCCTGTGTCTGACTGTCTGGCTGTCTGCAGAACTGCAGAACTGCAGACTGCAGAGTGCTGACTGCCACATCTTTGTCTCTCTCTCTCTGTCTTGGTGGGGGGGAGTAGGCCCAGTAGGGGCCCGGGCCTCTCTCTCTAACTCTATTGAGATAGGGGGGCGGGCGGGCCCGCGGGGAGTGGACTCACTGGGGGCCCACTCTCCCGGGGGAGTTGTAAATAACTGGAAAGACTAATGTGTATGTAAATATGTACGTAAATTCCGATACTGACTACTGTATATGTATTTATAAATAAAAATATGTAAATATTTTGTCGTTTGTTTCATTGTTTTTCCTTCCAACAAAAATTGAACATGTATTTATTGCGTGTAAATTGTTTCATATAGTTTCCAGCAAGGTTATGCACCAAATTCCAACTAGCAGTATTATAATTTTTCCGAAGCATGCACGTCTTATCGGCTGTGCTGGCCTACCATGCCTTGGTGACCCTTGCCTTCTCCCCAATGCTTATGTTTGCCCCGGAGAGACTTATGAAGGTTGGTCGCAAAGGAGCTGTGGCAGATGCCAAGAAAAGAGATGACGCACCAAGCACATCTACGAGGCCAGACACGAAGACGTTGGTATGGCGTATTTGTGGCATTTGGGTGTTCTACGGAGGCTTGATGTCGCTTTATGCGACGGGATATTTCTCTGCTGTGACAAATGAGGTGCAAGTTTTTGTTACGGGGGGACTGATGCTCACTCACTTGGCAGAGAGTCAGGTCAAGATGTACTACACCGGAAACCAGTTGTTGAACCTGCATGTGTGTATTTTACTTCTCGCAGGGTTGCTACACAACTACTTTAAGTAAAGTGCCAATTTCTAATAGTTCGGATTTCGTAGTTTCAGAACCTACATGCGCATATACAGTTTGCATATAACTCATGAGCATAATTCGATTTTATATCTGAGCACATGTACGAACATCTATGCATATTGTCATTTGAGTTGTACATATTCTCTCGCACACATTTATTCTATATTATATATATATACACATATATATATATATGTATATACATATACTTATATACATATATATACATGTACACATACATATACACATACAAATACGTATAAATGTACATACAAATAAGGAGATATATACATGTACATATACATATACATGTACATATACATATACATGCACATATACATATACATGTACATATACATGTACATATACATATACATAAATGTGTATATAAGTTAGATAGCGAGCGTCAACGTTTGCTTCGGTGCAACATAAGACAGCTTATGACCGTGTAAGACGGGAACAGGGACTGTCGTCTACCCCGATAGGCTACATGTATGATTGGATAGGGGAGGAGAGTGAAATACGGATTCAGAAAAGATAGAATTAAAATTGTCATCTTCGAGAAAAAAAAAAGTTGTCTATGACTTGTCTAGAACACAAATCATTCAGTACTTTCAAAGATTTGTCTAGCAAGCTTGCCGAAACATGGGTTTTTGACCTACTGCAAGCTATCGATGAAGTACAAAATCCAAAGGACGATTTACTGCCTATGAGTGTGAAATTGTGTTTCCACGAATACACCCGTTATAACCGATATGTTGCAACATATTGTCACATTGTGGTCTCGTACGTGACAGGGATGTCAACGGCAGCATCAGCAATGCTGCCATCTTTATGGTGTAAGATGAAGTTTTACAGGGTGATCATACACCCTTTACACAACTACAAAGCTGCGTGTTGGCCCTATCACATTTTGGACAGTGATAGTCTAGTGAGTTTGAAATATACCAATTGTACACAACTTTAAAGAAACAATTTTTTTTTGTGACGGAATCATTCTCGAGATCACTTCTTGGGTGCCGTCGGTTTTTTCACAACCTTTTTCGGTTTTGCTTTTGCTTTCGGTTTTGCTTTCGGTTTGGCCTTGCCCGCTTTCCCCTGTGAATAAAAAGCATCAGTGATGTATTTAGAGGTAAGATATTAGCAATCAGTGGCCCTAACTTGGAAAAACAAGGCATTCTTTTTAACATAAACGTTATGTACAGTATTGTACACGCTCTGAAGAAGTATCCCATGATGCCGAAAAATAAATAAGGATGAGAAGAGTACCCTAGGCCCATAAAAATTGGCATGTGCACATCAATTGACATACCACCGTCGGAGCCACATCATCTGAGGCCAGCACTTTGATTTTCTTGGATGTCTTCTTGCTTGATTTGCCGTCACCCGGCCTATATGCGAGGATGATTAGATATGAGTATGCGCTTACTGCAGCATAAGCTGTGTGAGTCATGGGTGTCTATTTAATTGTGGAAGCAATTCATTTGAGTTTAAGCGCTCATTACATGCACGCGACTATAAAGTATTTATCAATAAGTAACTATCTATCTCTCCATAAGGAATTCTCTATGTGCAATCGTCTATTTATGTACATGTAATTATCTATAAGTGACTATCTATAGGTAGTTATTTATAAGTAATTATGCACAAACAATTAACCATAAGTATCTACGAACTTGAAAATTATTCCTCCTGACGCGTGGCATGAACGTGGACAGAACTGTACTGTAAAGGTTAATATGCGGTTTATTGAACAACATTCAACCAGACATTATTATCGATACGCAGGTCTTCAAAATATCACAGGTCAAAAAATGTCTTTGCAATTTTGAATCCAATTTGACCAGTCCGTTTCCGCCAACCAAAGTGGGGGACAACCCCTGTCTAGAACACGTGTAATCAAAGTTTAACAAACTCATTACATAAACCAGATCTGGCGGTGCTCGCAAGTACCTACCTTTTACCGTTGCCGTTCATTTCATAATCGGACGCGATCTCATCGTCCATATCATCGCCCTCATCATCATCTATGTTACCGTTTAACACCTCTGTGGCATTGTACACACTGTCGATACTGTACGTGTGCATACAAAGGTTTGATTTAGTGTTTAATGGTTGGTGCAACACCCATGCTACCGTTCAATACCTCAGCGGCATTCTACTGCAGACATGCATATGTATAATTGATTTGGTATTGATTCTTGGTGCAACACTGCAATACTCGCAGTGCTAATCTCCACTACCGTGGCATCGCACACTTTCGGAACTACACACGTCTATACAAAGTTCTGATTTAGTGTTTAATCCCGGTGTTACGCTATGATAGCACTCCACACGTCTATGGTATTATACACACCGCCGATACGGTGCACGTGTGTATTTGAGCAATCGATTTGGTATATACTTTGGTATTAACTTAAATCATCGTTCAAAACTTCTGCGCTATTGTACACTTTGTTGGTACGGTATGAACGTGTTCGAGTAGAGAAGGGGAGTGGTTTGTAGTGCAAACACAACGAAACTGGCTAATACTTCTGTGGTATTATAAATACTGTCGATACTGTATGCACGTGTGTGGATGGTAAAGTCAGGGTACGTTTGATATACTATTTTAAACAGACAAGCGGTTTCCTAAATACTACCCCTACCGCATGCATGTATAGAAGGAAGAATAATGGAGCGAAATGTGCCCAGCAGGAGCTCGCCATTGCGTGTTTTGCTTACCATGTCACACGCCACGAAATATTGTAAAAAGCAGACATGTGTAGATCAATATAAATGCATATTGATTCACTCATTTTTAGTCCGAAAGCGCGGAACAATTGCGAATTAGAAAGGCATACCAGTCTAAATCAAAGTAGGTATCGTTACGTGACCTGATATTGGCTTCTCCGTTGCTAACTCACATGGCCCTGAATGTGGCACATGGTTTTGGCAGCTCTTTTCCCAACTTCATCCCCAGTCACACACATCGAAACCCTACATCCCAACTCTAAGGGAAGGAAACAAAAATTGACATACCATTCCAGATCCAGATAAGTGTCGATAAGGGATTCCACCTTGGCCTCGCCGTTGCTAACTTTCATAACCATGAATGTGGCGCAAGGTCTTGGTAGTCCCTGGAAAGTATAACCTTTCAAGTCAAGTCTGAACATGTTGTCTTCTGCCGATGGTGCAAAAAACCGCCCGACCGCGCCCGTATCTCCATCGAGGTCCTACAAATAGAACATATCGGGAGGTATTTGGAACATGTAGGTAGGTATGAAGATAGTACGTATAGGTATAGTACTAGAAAAGATAGGCAGTATGACGACACACACGGCTGTAGCTATCCCAAATCTATAACCAGATTGCAATAAAGGATGCGACACAGCCATGTACTGTTTCATTATCTACACTATAAGCCCTGAATTGCGCTGAAAGATTCTTTCAGATAACCTAAGAATAACACGTCTGCATTTGCACTGAGTGACTAGACTCATGACCCACGCTGATATTGTTTGAGCGTTGGTTAAACGCACATATGCACTTGTACACAATCTGACAGAGCTCTCGGCGAACGCTGAGACGAGTTGAGGAGGTATATACACACATGATAATGGATATATGATGCATTTAGATGTAATCTTGCATCAACACGTATGCTCATGATACTACGCTAAATTCGATATACACGCCTATCGACACAAAAACACGAAAAAAAGAATGAGAATGGTTACATAGTAGAAGCACGTAAGCGCCCCACACATACCACTTCATCCGAGGGCTCGAAAATTACTGCTGGGATTAGCTTGGCTGACATCTTGACGGGCATGGTGGCCAGCATGCGCGTGTTCGCCTTCGGTCTACCCTTGGGTTTCTTGGGTTCTGCATCGGCCGTCCCATCAGGTTTGATAGTTCCCGTCTTTGATTCCTAAGTTGGTGGGGTTAGCGCGAAATACGCCAGTCTGAGCTTTATACACAGATAATGAAATTGTTTCAGTTATACAGCCATGCCTGCGCATGTTTGTGTGTCTCGACATAACGTCAAATGTGTGCATACAAGTGTGTAGCATGTATCCCATACCTACCCACCCAAACAAAAACAGGGGTCAAACTAGTGACAGCACAACACATACGTCGTCATCATTCTCATCCATATCCAAGTCAATGCTCGATGCGCTCTTCTTCGGTGTTATCCTCTTGGGTGGCAATACCGGGACAAAACCGGTATCGTCTAGATCAGAATCGTCATCCAAGACTGTTATCATGCTGCCAATCAAACATAGAATGTCCAATTTAGACTTGCATTTCGAGATAAAAACAACAAATCGAGTATAAATAGGTTTTGTACAATTCTGTTTGGATTAGAATCTGGGCAGCGAGTGGAACATACCTGTCTTCAGTGTGTTTGACGGCTTTCGCTTTGCTGGCTTTCTTCGCGGTAGCTTTTTTAACCTTAGGTTTCGCCTCGAAATCAGAGTCATCATCGTCAACTGAAATAAAAGAGAATTTGGAAGTTAACAATGGCCCTCTCTAGCACAGACACATCACAGGCTGAAAGTGTGTGCGTGTGGGGGGGGGGGGGGGAGGTACCCTATGTGTGTGTGAATTAAATAAATATATCATTAGGGAATGTATCTGCATACAACTGAGTATTGTATGAAGGGCACCTTTAAACCTAGATTTGCTAAGTAGGTTGTGTGCTATCATAAGCGTTGTGGTGATATAACACGATGTAGCTATAGTCATACCATACCTACTAGCGCAACAACACATAGCAAATCAACTTCTCGTTACCTTGTTATTTACTATGGTGCATATGGCACTACGCAAGCTTGAAGATGATGGTTTAACATACTATCGAAGAATCATAAGATTGGAGGTTCAACATACTATCTAATAATCACAGAGAGACACATATTGATACCTGCTATATACGTGATTGGCAAACACGCATCAGAAGCAGCAAAAGGTTTCTACAATGGGTTTATCACTCAGACGTAAAGCAGAAAAGAGATCACAAACTTACCAATTCTCGTCATAGTCATCCGTAGATTGTCAATGAGACAAATCGTGTACAGCTTCATATCGGTGTACGCAAATTAAAACAGGTGGATATGCGAAAGTGATTACCTATACTGGCATATAAACACACAAGACAGGGGGCTGCTATTGTAGGCAGGGATCACAATCAACCTATCAGATACCAGTATGCGTACACTCATCTCCGCCCACAACTAAATACATACATACGACTTGCATCGCATATTGAGGCATATGAGGTATCCTGCAGATGATTCTAAGCGCACAGAACACACACTCTTTGTACATATTTATAGAAATGGCTTCACACCAATCTGTTGAACATATAGCATTGGTATGCCCCTCTAGTATGTAGCACGAGACTTTCTATCGGCGCAGAATAAAAACTAGAACAGGGACTTTGCGTGAAAATTCAAGTATACTTGGGGTTATGCGAAAGAGAAACTCTGAACATATCTTAACAGATTAGCAGTAAGAATGTACGTAGATAAGTACACATTGCTCCTACTATCGTCTTAATCTGTACTTAGAAGGATGTACATCTCCTGATATCATAGCATATATAAAATAAATCACTTCATCACATTGTATTCTACTACACTTAGATATATACAACCTCATACCATTGGAATAGTGATCTGTTATTGATATGCACATCTATCCATCTAATAGTACACTAACTACCAGGCCCTATTCAAGTAACAGAATACTATCTATCAATCTTACCATTATACTCGTCCTCACTTTGATCCTCGTAACCAGCTTCACTGGCCACACTTTCTCCGTCGAGCTCTGAGTCTGAGATGTCTTTCATTGACTTAGTAGGTCCAGAATTCCGGCTTCGCCGTGTTGTCTTGACAACCACTTCAACCTCAGATTCCGCATCCGATGAAATGACTCCCATAATAGTTTATATAGATACTGAGAGGCTATACCTGTGTATATAGCCAACTATCTTCTGCTCGATTTCATAGTCGTATATGTGTTTGTTACTGTATGTTTCTATATATACGACAGATACTTGTAGTTTGTTTCATATAGGTGCGATACTGTGTATGATTATTATCGTACTGTATTCATAAACAACCATGAACAGCTACAGTAGTTTCCATATAGATGATTATTCATATGCATGTGCTATATAGTGTACGAGGATACGGTATTGTGTTGCTTAGTTATTACTTTTCCCAAGTAAAGCTGATCGCTTGGAATGTGTCAACTTTGTACTACCTGTCTGTGTTTTATACATACGCTACACCTTTATATTCTCATGTGCTTATTATACCTATACGCACTACCTGCCTGTCTGGTATACATACTCTACACCTTTATATCCTTTATATACTTATCTATTGTAGATAAATAAATACATACTCTTATATTTACACTGCAGAAGCTTTAACCTTTAACCTTTAGGTCTCTTGGCCGTTCACTTGATTATATACTTTTAGTCGCTGTCCTGCTGTCATTGCTATGTGTCCTTTCGTGTGTATACATTCTTTTTGGAAAATACTTTTTTCCCGCGTAAAAGTATGAGAATTCACGTGTTTCTATTGGACCACAGCTGCGCGCCAAAAGTGTCACTGCAATGTCTGACTGATAATGTATGAACAGTGATTTATAATATATACAACTAAAGTTTTCCGTGTCGTGTATATAAAGTTAAAATATTTATTTCTATACAAGCTTAGGCCGCCCTAGATATACTTAAACTGGAGATAGACTGTTGTACACACATACATGCACCAACGCAATCATAAACACTTATATTAATAGATGAAAATAGACACACGATAGTACTATCAGCACACTATGGGTATCATACTAAAAGATGTGGACAGTAGCGACGATGAAGAGTTCGATGGAGACATAGTCAGCAATGTAGGCGATAGCGATACCAGTATAGGCTCTGAGCATGTGTTTAAGGCTCCATTGCCTGTCACAAGATCACAAGGTATGTTACACACTCTTAAATCAATCAGACTTATGTATGTCTGTTTGCAAACGTTATATTATATTTGTACACGCAAGGTGTACCACAGTTGGAAGTATTTCGGAGTACTATTTATGTACTTTATTTTGTACCTTTACGTGCGTGGGATAGATATTGGAGATAAAGAAGAGATTGATGGGGGGTTAATTAGTGGTTTTGACGATACAGATAACAGTTTAGTCTTCGTGCGTGTGTTCAGGGCACCTTTGCCTGATGCAAGAGCTCATTGGTTGTTATAGGGGGAAAATAAGTGCATCACTGTATGCAGACCGCATTTTGCATTTGTATATGAATTGTTTCGGACAAGTGAAATGTATCGGAGTGGAGCTCTCATTTCAACCTATAAGTTGAGGTGTGCTGTTCCTAACTTTGAGAATAATCATACGACACGTGTAATTCTGGTTGCAAAATCTATTTTGTATTTCAATATGTTTGCGATGGACTATAAACAAGAGTGGTCTATGTGGTTGTCCTTTGACTGAACTAACATACGGGAACGTGCTACTAGTAAGCCTGCTGTTAAAATTGTAGCGGAGTAATGGATAGGGGGATTATAGGATGTGCAAACTTTAGAGTGTATGCTTTTGAGATAGTTGGGCTAAAATGTTCTTTTTGAGATTATCACTTGATAGATATTCGACGAGCTTAAGCGTACATACATACATGTATACATACATACATACATGCATACATGCATACATACATACATAAATACATACATACATACATTCATACATACATACATACATACATACATACATACATATATATATATATATATATATATATATATATAATATATATATATAAATAATATATATATATATTATTATATAGTATATATATATATATATATACATATATGTATATATATATATAATATATATATATATATCTATATATATCTATATATATATATACACATATCCACACACACATGTTCCATACTGTGATGCATAGAGTGGGTTTCGCACCATAGCTATTTTAATAGGCGGAAGAGTCCTGCTGACAATATTCGGTTGTGGTAGGAATAGGACATCCAGTTCGTTCGGATACCATCTGGCTTCATAATATACGTATATAAATATAAAGATGTTTACATATACCTACACACGCATTTATATTGAACCAATTGCCCCGGAAATGTGCAGGTCAACCGACGAGAGTGTGTTCCAAATAGTGGTCGTCGGAACGTTACACCGTGGGTACCACATCCATTGTATGATAATGACGTAGATTCGTCCGAAAGAGATCGCGGTATTTAGCTTTGAACGGGTCACCAACGAAAGATGTCTGCCTTCTCTATCAGTGCAAAGGGGTTGTCAAGTGTGAGAGTTAAACCTTGACAGCCATTCCGTGTGTACATGCAGAAGCCACCCGACCGCTCCCATGAATTCCTTTAGAGAAATAGGCGTTCAGAACGAGTCGAACTGAAAGCCTTTCGATTGTCAACCGACTGCCCAATCAACTGAGGTTTAAAACACCCAATGTCAGTGGAGTGTACAATTATCTCCGAAACTCGGGCTTGGCACCATGCACAGGTAGACAGACCGCACATGCAATGCTTAGAGAGGAGAAAGGATAATCCAGTGGTATTAGCCTGAAACTATGGTGAAAAAAAAAGACCAACGATAGCATACAGGCAAGTACGTGCTAGTTCAAGAGTTTAATGCCTTGACATTGCTGGATCCGTTGCTAAGGCGGGTGGCTCGATGGCTTGGAGATTAAACGGTTTCAACCACTTATGTATTGGACCCCTGGTCGGGCTTGTCTATGGAGACTTACTGCTGGACGAGCCAAGCTCAAACTAATTTGTTAAAGCGTGTACAGTACATTATAGTCACGTTTGAGTATCAAAACACCGATAGCAAGTAGCAAGATGTAGAAACATACAATGCCGCGCACACGCATACACATCTTGACGCTTACACAAATACACTAGCATCACTGGCCCCTCCAACCCCCCTCTCTCTTTCGCTCTAATATGAGTGCACAGCCACCGAGGGAGATGGACTAGGACAACAGCCATGACACAGCCCAATGATGGGTGAATCAACTACACCTACTACATCGATTACACTTGTACAAACTTGGATCACATTCGAAATAAGACTCCTGTCTCGACGTTTAGGCCCCCTTTAAACACGCTGGTTGTATGCGCGGTTGTCGGTCGTCTCGGACATAACGTTGCCATGGCAACACCTACGGATGCAGTAGCAGTCATTCAGCTTCAGCGCCACCGGATCACTAAATACACTGCCGCGCGCGCGTAACAACTCCCTACTGTCAGCCAGCGAAGTACAGACCGCAAGCCGAGCCTTCAGGGTGTCCGCACCTTTCAAAGACAGGACACGCGAAATGTCCCGGACCGCCTGCTGCACCCCGGGCAGGGACCTGTTACTCGTATTCAGGGTCGCATGGACCGTGTCTTGCGGCGCCACATATCGGGACGGGTCAGATTCGGCCCTGTCACTCACCCTATCCTCAAGTACATCCTTCTCTTCATAGTCCAGGAGCGGATGCAGACATCGCGTACCTTCTCTCAGTGCAAAGCTCAGGCACGACCCGGTACCTGTCCCGTTGGACTGAGCGGAAGGACCGTCCATTTCCATTGCAAAGGTGCACAGGTCCAGTAAGCGTTTGAGGTTCTGCTCTGAGGTCAGCGTTGGACTCTCCCGTGCCACCATCCAGCCCAGATACTGAAAGCCGTCTGGTGGTACGCTCACCTTAGCCCCAACTGTGAAGTACAGGTCACTGGCCACATAGGCCGCATCCTTCACCACACTAAGGGGGATGTCCTGTTTCCTAAGTATTCCGGACCGGACCGGCACCAGATTCAGCGAGGACACGGTGTGCAGGGTCGTCATGTTGAGCGGGGTCAGGGCCGGTCTACCTACCCCCAACCGCGCACTCGCACTCTGCGGGTCCTTTTCAGCACAGGCCAGAACGGCCATGTGTACCTGTAGACCGTCCAGGTGCATACCCACATCATACCCACACGCCAGCAGCACAGCCCCTTCCGATAGAGACACCCCCCATGCCGTATGTACCATAAGATGCGTCTCTGCCCCACCCAACCGACAGTTGATCTCAATGGGCACCGGCCCAGCGGCGGTGTACATCAACTCCACATGAAAGCACCCGTTCAGGCTTCTGAGACCTCGGGTACGCGATGTAATTTCGGTACCGGCTGCACCCTCACGCACACTCACGGGTAGTGTGCAGGACTGGTTGCACTCACAGTCACAGTCGCAGCTGCACTCGTTGGCTCCAGCCGACATGTGGGCCTCGGCTGTGTGCGGTGTAGTGGCTTCGTGTATGGCAGACAGGCTGGTGAAGAGTTCTCGCACCACCCCAACGATGCTCTGCTGGGCTTGCCGCGGGAGGTCGGATGGACAGATTCCGCCCATTTCCATGAAGTAATCGGGTGTCTGAGGGGACAAGGGAGTGATGAAGTAGTGAGCACTCGCTGCTGTCACGGTCATTTGCACACACTTGCTTTGACGATGTTGTCATGACAATTTGCACACACTTGCTTTGACGATGTTGTCATGGCAACTTGCACACACTTGCCTTGACGATGTTCTCATGACATCATGACAATTTGCACACTTGCTTTGATGATGTTGTCATGACAACTTGCACACACTGCTTTGAAAGAATACAGCATAGCGAGACGGTTTTAGCATAGCATTCGACGTCTGCCAAGACAATACACACCCACGGCCTTGATCAAACATGAAGAACGCGGGCACCACAAGTACCCCCTGCACGCGTGTGAACAGTCCACACCAAGTGCTCTCTGCATACGCACATACAACCACATCTATCCGAACATACGTTGCCATGACAACAACATGTCGCCCACATACTATTACTTCGGGGCTGACTAGGTTGATCCAGGAGCCCAACAAGTCTTTAAAGGTGGTAGTGGACTTACCTGTGGCGCGTAATTGGTCGATATAGAGAGGAAGACGACTTGTCCATCCATCACCAAAACGTCGCAGTCCACTTCGACTCCCTCCAGCATCCCTTCCACCATGAACATAGGCTTGTCCGACTTTGGTGAAGGTGCCGGTGTTGGCTGTGTGTGTGCCTGTGTCTGTATGTTTCCCTGCCCTAGTGCTTTATCCCGAGTCCGTGTTTGTGTCCGTGTTTGTGTTTGTGCTTGTGTTTGTGTGTGTGCCAGTGTGCCAGTGGGTGTCTGTATGCTTGCCTGATCTCCCGTCTGCCTTAGCTGCGTGTGCCATTCTCCCGTTGCCTCTGGTGACTGGACTAGGCTGGCTGGTCGTGCTGGGTCTGTCATCACCCACTCCAACGACGGGTGTGGGCTCGGATTCTCCCGTGTCTGGCGAAGGGCATTCGCCACAACGTCTGTGAGAGCCTCTGCACTGTGCACAAGCTGCACAAACTGCGATCCACCCCCCTCGCACGGTTTGAATACCACTGGGAATTGCATGTACGCACAGTCCAGTGTGTGGACTCGCTCTACTGGACGTGCGGTGGTCTTATGCCGCAGAGCTGCGCCGCAGGAGCACGAGGTGATGGAGGCGACATCTGTGCGTGGGTAGGTATACATGAGGGATACAGAATTTAGGGTTTAGGGTTTAGGGAGAGGTTAGGGTTTGGGGATGTATCCTGGGTCACACCAGGAACTCGAAATAGTAGATTGGATGGCGAATAGCAGGTCTGTCTATTCCCAGCGCTTATATGCAGTTTGTGGGTGAGAATATATGAGACTGTATTTCAAACAGCAACCAACCGGAACCAAGCACCGTGCAATAGCACATGTCATACGGCGACAGGAGAACCAGCGGTGACACCTCTTACACGTCCCTGAGTGATACCAACACACATAACAACAAGAATACAAACCAAAAGAATATCTCTGTGTATCTGTATCAGTTGAACTCCACGGATACCCGCACACCTTCAATCTGGTTGATGCCCCGGAACGGAACAGAGGGGAGCCCAGCACCCACACACATGGACCTGAAGTTGAACTTGTTTCGTGTCTGTCGCATGACTTCCCAGGGTAGACCAGGCATACTAAGCACTTCGCAGGTGGCTGCGGCTATAGCCACACCGAACTCATCAAACGTCAGCACGCCACGTGGCTTGCGCTTGGCGTTATCCTGTGTGAAGAGGATTCGAAAGGCGTCACTATGACTGTGTATTTGCTTACACCATATGCAGGAATTCAAAGGGCGCCACTATGACTGTGTATATGCCTATACCATACGTAGCAATTCGAATAGCGGCACTATGACTGTGTATATGCCTATACCATATGTAGCAATTCAAATAGCGCCACTATGACTGCGCATTTGCCTGTGTCATATGTATGCATACACCATATATTTGCCTATATCATACATATACTTGTATCATACGTAGTAATTCTATTGGCGTCCCTGTGACACCCTGTGAATGGGCATATGCCTGTGTTACATGCATGCCTATAACATAAGTATGCCTGCGCAATGTGTTTGCCTATATCCTACGTAGCAATTCCATTTGCGTCACTGTGACTCACTGTGAATGGTCATATGCCTGTGTTACATGCATGCCTATAATATAAGTATGCCTATGCAAAATGTTTGCCTATACCATACGTATGCTTGTATCATACGTAGCAACTATATTGGCGTCACTGCGACTGTACATATGCCTGTGTCACGTGTATGCCTGTAACGTACGTGTGCCTATACCATACGTAGCAATTCTATTAGCGATAAAATGGTACACGTTTGCCTATACCATCCGTAACATTGGGAGATGCATCTCTCTGTGCGCAGAGATTCACTTCGGAACTATACACCACAGGACGTGCTACTACAGATATACCTACAGATATACCTACAGATATATCTACAGATATATCTATACATATATCTACACATATATAGTTCAATTCAAACAGCCAGACCGAAAATGAAGGGCTTACCTTAAATCGGATGATATAAGGTGTACGATATCTCATTAACTGAATAGCTTAGTAGAATATAACATAAACATAGGAGCGTGCATGCATGTAAAAACGCATCTCTTTGTGTCTGGGCACGGTGGCTATTGGACTTTGGTGAACGCAAAATACAGCCATACATGTGATTTCACCAACCGAAATACGGGCAACATAAGTATCAACAAGCATCAGAGATTTCAGTACAGATCTATTAATCTGAACCTCGACGCCGATAAACTGGTCACGATTGCATACCCTTGGTTACCTACACAGTACACAAGCACAGATAACTAGAAATTAAACGTCTGGGCGTACGCTGCTAATTGTGAACTATGACGATACTGGCACATGCGAGATACAACAATAAACCATGTGAGAGTGCAATGCCCTTAAAAATATAAATGCAATTTAAACTCAAGTTTATTCCGAATTGGAACTCCACTTCAATTATCTTGTTGCTGTTGTACAGCTCTAAATGCCTACTCAGCGCAAACATATACAGGCTGGCGGGAAAGGTATAGATTGATACAAACATAATATAATCATACACTCAGCGAGTAGGCGATTTCCTAACGAAGTAAAGGCATTTTGAGCTCTGAATCAATTTTCGATTCGAGCCCGACCCCCACTTGAGCTACTTGATTGTCTTTACACAAATTTAGTTGGGCGCCCACAAAGCACATATATTTATACATATACATACATACATACATACACAACACACACACATACACATACACACATACGCAAACACACACACACACACACATATATATATATATATATATATATATATATATACTATATATATATATATATATATACTATATAATACAATACTATATATATATATATATATAATAATA